CCTCCTGCCTCAGTCTCCCGAGCGGCTGGGACTACAGGCGCATGCCACCATACGTAGCTAACTTTTCTATTTTTTGTAGAGACAGGGTCTTGCTATGTTGCTCAGGCTGGTCACAAACTCCTGGCCTCCAGTGATCCTCCTGCCTCAGCATTCCAAAGTGCTAGGATTACAGGTGTGAGCCACTGGGCTCATAAATTCTTGTATTTGCCACATTCCCAATTCACCCTACTCCCACAAAAAGGAATTCCAATGCTATAGGAAGTACAGAGAAATGTAATTCCCTTCCTTCCCATATCATGTATACTTCAAAAAAATCAAAAATTAGTGGGTAATTGTGTTCATTAGAGATTCACCTTCTTAAATTCTGGAACACAACTACACTGGTGCTTTGCTTTATATTTAAAATTGAATACATTCATCTGACTTTCAGCCTTCCATAGAAAAGTAGAAATGTTTCAATAGTGCTTTCAACTTTATAATGAGAAAAATACCATATTTCAAATTCAAATTTATGCCATCAGAAAAAAATGACTAAGATTTTTAAAACTTACCATTTTTCAAGAAACAATCTTATAAAAGACCCCTAGATGGGGCTGTAACTTCACAGATACAAGCTCTCAGAATTGTCAGCAATTTACATAGTCATTCTTGGCATTAAATTGTGTGTAATTCTGAAATCATGATCTTGATGATTTTTTTTAATTTTTTAACTTGGTATATTATGAACATACTACTTACAACTCAGGTAAAATCCCAGGTGTAGCCATTTGTCTTGTAATGCCTCGTCCTAAATTATTAAATTAAAATTAGGCATTGAGAATGATAATGATAAATATATTTATTCCTGGGGTTTTTCTGGTTTTGGTGGGGAGGACCTGGGTTAGGGGAGGGTAGAGGAGAAGAAGAAATCAACCAGGCTGCTATTTACCTGGGCCCAAAATGTTACCGCATCTTCTACGTGACTTCCAACCACATCTTCAACTAAAACCAAATCACAGTGCAAAGCAAATTAGAAATTAATCAGTATCATCTAGCTTTTTACACCCAAAAATAACTTTTAGTTTCAGTACCTTTATTGTAATGTGTATCCTCATCCATTTGGACAATTCCTGAAGAACTGAAACAATTCAGTAACTTGAATTAGGTTATAATAATTCATCCACTAATAATGAATAAACACTAAACCACATAATGTTCAAATGCTTACATGTATGTTTTGTCCTAAATTATCAAAATTCAAACTCTATTTTAAAAAATGACCTCAAAAATATTTCCTTCAATAATTGATTCTTTTGTTTTGAGTATACTGTAGTATGCAATTTCATCATATATAATCTCTATCCTTAAAATTATCTCTAGCCAAACTTTTATGAATTCACACTGAAATGGATAATTCGTGTACATTTTGATCAGTTACATAAATCAATACTTTGGAACAATGTGCAAATTCTTTTAAAAAAAATTAATGTCCTCCTAAAACAAGAGTAGCATTTCCACAATGTAAACAAAGAGAAATACTACAAGTAACAGAATAAACACTTCAGACTGGCAATCAATTTTATATAAAAGGCACAGTGGTTACTACTTTTGAAGAAACCCCGGGATTAAAGACTGCAAAATAAATCAATTTTGCCCATTACTTCAAAAATAATTTTCATTATATAATATCATACTTTACCAACTGCAAATTATTTCAAAAGAAATGTCTACTACTATATAATTTTATCCTTAATACACTAGAATATTGCACCTTCCATTCATAAATGTTGAAAGAAAATTAAAACATAGATTTTTTTTAAACACATTAACTGCCATTTGAGTTGTATTTAACTTACACAAGTTTTGAGCCCCGGGCCTCATGAAGCGCATGTAACTCACACGTCTCTTTACTTTGGGAACTAGTTACTAAGTGAACTATTTTTCAAGTTGCATATAACTCGTGCACAGAAAACAATAAAAAATAACAAATTTTTCATTAAACTAGAAAGGATCATTTTATTTTTGAAGTTTTTATTCTATTTTTATAATAAAACACGGAAGCCCTAGGGAAAAAAATTTTTTTTCTAGTGTGGCAGTGAATGTGTTAAAGACCTTCAAAAACACCACTATACCAAATACTCTCTCAATTATGAAAAAGGAAATGTTATTAACTCTTCATCACAGAAAAAATAATTTCCTAAAATTTTAAAACTTTATTCTTTCGTTACAGCTTAAAATTTTTTTTCCTATACCAAAGCCCAGACTCCACCACTACACAATATATACATGCAACAGAATTCAACTTGTACCCCCTAAATCTATTAAAATTTTAAAAAGGAAAGAAAAAAGAAAAAAATTCAAATACATTAAGTGGCATCAAAACATCTTCAAGACAAGGATTCTTTAATACTGGTCAACAGTTTTTAAATTCAAGCGACCAAAAAGTTGTAAAAACAAGTTGGAATCTGTTTAAGGAAATTATGTATTTCTCTGGAAGATATTCTAAGTTTTAAACTTAGTAAAAATGAAAATGTTCACTTTGGAAATCCCGCCGCACATTCCAAGAAGCTACTTCAATAATTTTAAGATCTTATTTTAAAATGACTTGCCCTGATGATTATAAAGGAACTGATGCTGTACCCAGTTTCTGCAAATCTGGATCACCAAATGGAACGACCAAATCTCCACTTCAAGACAAGAATTTGTAAGAAATAGGTTAAGGGAGCTCCTTGACATTTGCTTTATGGGGGATTCTTAAGTCTAAATAGCACAGAATTTGCAGGAAGGAGAGGAGAGAATTCCAACCCAGAGCAGGCCTGTATGTCTTCACCAAAATCACTCAGGCCTGAGGGATTTGCAAGCCAGTTTTGCCTCCACAGATGGTGGCGGCTCAAACACGGTGGAAGGCCAGGAAATGGGCCTCATCCCAGGCTTGGAGACCTAAACGCGAAGAGCGACAAAAATACAGTCCTTGAAACGGCCACCATCGCACCTACTACAAGACTAATACTGACCTCACACTTTCCGCCACAGACTCTTTAGAAAAGTGACCCTGGCCCCACATGGCAGGCCTCAGCCCTCCGCCCGCCACCACGGCTCGCCTTCCGCCCGCCGTCGCGCACGTGCAGAAGCTTACCGCGCGTGCTTAGCCTGCTGGGGCCCCACACTGCGCTTGCGCACACGGCGTTCCGCCATCGTCCGGGTTGGCGGGAGCCCCACCCGAGTCACGTGGTTGCCCAGGCCTCGGGCCTAGGAAGAAGCCAGCAGGGCTCGCGCTCGCGGCTACCGACCCTCATGCAGGGAGCAGAGCACTGAGGCTGCGCGCTGGGGATTTATGGGAAGGGTGGGTTCTCCACGCCTGCCGGCCAATGACAGGTGGTTCTTCAAAGCTTCGAGCAATGACGTAAGACGGCGACGTGAGGTTTCTTGGTCTTTCCTAATTTGTTCACGCAGATTTAAATTTTAAAAACGCCCAAATTAGAATAATCTCAGCATTCTTTTTACACCACGAAAGGAGAAAATGATTTTGGTAAATAAAGAATGTGTTTTTCAGATTAGTAGCTTTTCTTAACCCACCTTAACATCCGTGGTTCTCTCTAGTGTTGCAGCTTTTTTCAGAACAGTAAGGGGGGAAAATGTAGCTTTGCTGTCCAGTTATATCTAGATACTACACTTTGTGGCAAAACTTGCACAACAATTGAAAATTGCCTTCAGTTAATTTTTAACAGCTTGACTGAGCTATGATTAATATACAATAAAGTGCAGATATCAAAAGTGCACAATATGTTAAGAGTCAACGTATGTACATAACACCGTTGAAATCACTCCCAATCAAGGTGAATTTTTCCATCACCCCCAAAAAGTTTCCTTATGCCCATTTGTAATATCTGGTTCCCCGGAGAAGACGGTATTTGTGGAGAGAAAAAAAAAGAAATAACGAAAAAGAAAAAAAAGAAACAACATAATACCTGGTCCCCCCCACCTACCTTTCTGCTTTCGGTCACCATACGTTAGTTTGCGTTTCTAGATTTTAACATTAATAGAATTAAACGGTGTGAACATTTTACCTGGCTTATTTTAAATAGTGTAATTATTTTGAGATTCATCCATTTTGTCCCATGTATCAATAATTTGTTGCTTTTTATTGCTGTTACTGTTCCATTGCATGAATATAACACAATTTGTTTATCTGTCTTTTGACAGACATGTGGATTGTTTCTAGTTTGCAGTTGTTTCAGATAAAGCTGCTGTTGTGTACAAGTCTTTGTATGGACACATGTTTTCATTTCTCTTGAGTTAATACCTAGGAGTAGAATGGCTAGATCACAGAGTTGTGTGTGTTTATGAAACTGCCAGACTGTTTACAAAGTAACTGTACTATTGTATTAATATATTCTCATCACCAGTGTTTAAGAGTTAGAGTTGCTCTGTATCCTCACCCTCACTTGATATGCTCAGTGTTTAGATATTATGTATAGTGGTATCTCCTTGTGGTTTTAATTTGCATTTATTTCCTTATTGACTAAAAAGGTTGAGCATCTTTTCATGTGTTTATTTTCCAC